TTTGGACGTGCAGAACTTTTTTCCTTCTGCTATTTCTACCTCTGTGTAATACATTCTAGAAAGAATTATGTTTAGGGAGCCCCATGCAAGCATGCTTGTTGCAGCAATCCCCAAAGCTAAAGTCAACAAAGCTACCCTCCAACAGGGGGAAGGGTAGCTAGTGAATGTATAAAGCTTACTTCTCAGTGAAAACTGCCAATGATGTACGTATTCAGAGGTCAAGAACAGTGAGGGTTAAGGCCTCATGCCCACCAATGCCATACATATCCATCCAAACCTGAAGGACATATATGTGCAGATGGTGATGAAATGCACTACCCAAATGAGGATGGGTAGGTCAAACAACTTCAATATTATTAATTGTGGTGGCTTGAATGGGAATGGCCCTCTTAGGTGCATATGTCTGAATACTTATTCCCAGTTGGTGGAACTATTTGAGAAGGATTAGAAGGTGTGGCCTCATTGGAAGACATACATTACTGGGGGCAGTCTTGGAAGTTTCACAAGACTGGTGGTACTCCCAGTGTCCATTCTCTGTCTTACACCTTCAGATCAGAAAGTGAGTTCTCAGCTTGTGCTTACTCTCATGCTTTTGCTCTGCTATCAGGGACTCGAGTCCTCTGAAACAGTACGTCTAACTGAATGCTTTCTTTTTATAAATTGCCTTGGTCATGATGTCTTATCACAGCAATAGAAAAGAAACTAAGATGGTTATTAGTGATATTTTCATATTTTAGAGTAATGTTCCTTTGTTTCATGAACCTTTCTGCAATCTAATCGTAGTATGTTAGCTTCCTTCTCTAAGAGCAAGAAGGGATGGAGATAGGGGGACTCAGTAAGCACTTTGTCATGTGTATGCTACTCTGTGAATAGATACTTTCATTAAAAAATAACATATTCATTTATTCTTTGTGTGTTTGGGGGACTGCAGAGATGGTTCAGTTTGTAAAATGCTTGCTGCACAAGCATGTGGGTCTGAGTTTGGATCTCCAGTACCCACATAAAAACCAGGAGCAGCAGCACATGCCTCTAACCCTGCATCTAGGGAGGCCGAGGCAGGGGAATCCCTGTTGGAATAGCCGGACCACAGCCTCTAAGTCACTCTAATAAATCATTCTGTCAGTTTGGTAGTGGTACTCCAGATTCAGTAAGAAGCTTCATCTCAAAAATAATGAGCAGTATGGTTGAAGAAAACACCTGAGGTCAGCCTCTGGTCCCCACATGCACAACATGTACATGTACACACACACACACAAAAAAACATACACACATGCACTCCTATGTATGCAAGCACATACACACAAGTAAATGTTAATTTACTGAGTCCTAACTCTTGATCACAGCCAGGCAGGTGTCAGAGTGAAGACAGTAGGTGGATATGGCTATTGTCTCTGTGGCCATCATGGCCTTTGCAATTCTTCTCTTGCTTGTTCACTGCCCATGTTCACCCTTAGGTCTTGGTTTGTCTAGGAAGGGAAGCATGAGGCTTTCCTGCTGGGACCACATGTCTGGAGACCAGGCTGCTGACCAGGCAGCTGTCCTTACTGGAGGTGGGAACACAGTGCTGGACTCTGATTGGCTCCATCTCTCCCAGGCTCCTAGGTAGCCTGGTACTTTTGAGGGGCTGTGAGCAGCAGCATTTGCCTTTTCTGAAGCCTTGCTCTCTTTGACTATGGTGTCCAGTGATTCCCAGCATCTCAATACCCCCAGAACACAAGGTGTAGGTGACTCATAACTGCTCAGAGGATCTTTTTTTTCCCCTGTACTTCTATGTTATATCTCTCCCTAAGATATACCTGCCACATGGGACCCTAGGATGATGCTTCTGATGGCCAGGTGCTCATATCCTTTCAGACTACCTTTTCTACTATTGCATTAAAGAGAATGGCCTACAACCTCTGCTCAGTGTTGTTGGTGTATAATAATTTTTCCTAGAGAGACAGGACATACATGTCTATTCACCCTGAAAGGGGAACCCAAAACAGACCAAAGTCACAATTGTATCTAAGTCCAATTTGGTGAACCAATGAGTTTTTATCGAGGATAGCAACAGGAACATGAGTGGGGGTTACTTATGAGGAGAAAGGAGATGACTCAAAAACAGTGGCATCATTGAAAAACCCACCCCAGTGTGATCAGGCATGAAAGCTGAGACTGTGGGGCTTGCAGATGCCTGGACAGCCCAAGAACCTCTTCTGTGCAGCTGGTCAGAGACTTCTTCTCCCAGCAGTTGTTCAAGTTTTATTTTTATAAAGCTGGGGAGGGACCTCAAGAAAATCTTCCAAGTCCATGCTTTCAGCATGTGACCCTTTGTTTACCTTCTGAGTATCAAGACCCTCCCCCTCCCTCCTGGAAAGAATGATTCCATTCAGAGGAAAACGCCATACAATAGATGTAGGATCCGTGCCTCCTCCCCATTCATCCTTCTTCTCTCTCTTTACTTTGCTTCCCACGTCCAGCTTTGTGCCAGCCCTGGAGGAAGGCTCCACTCTGCCTCCTACAAGTTTTACTTCCATTAGTGAGGAATTTTCTCAGCCTCCTTGGTGGACCCAGACACCCAGGCTGGACTGGGAAGGATGTACACAGTGGCAGTCTCCCATCCTCTTTTCTTGTACCTACCACTTCTGCAGTTGCTTCAAAGGATCACCTTCTAAGCAGACTTCCTGTCACATTCAATCTATTCCCTGTTCCAGGACGAGGTGTCAAATCCAGAGGACCCTTGCCATCATGTTTGTCAAATTACTATGTGCAGATGTTCTTCCTTCTACAATGGGGCCACATCTCAATATACTCATTGCAAATTGAAAATGTCATAAGTAGAAAATTCACTCAATACATGTTGTCTACCCAAATCACAGCCCAGTCTATGAAATGTACTTAGAACATTTATGTGAAGTCTACAGTCTAACACAAAGCCTATTTATGAGAAGAAATTGAATAGCTGATGAATTTTGCCTAATGCTTATGTACCAAAATGTTAGCATCACAGTCCACCATAGAGTGGAGGTGCCTTACCCTCATGACCACATGACTTAAGGTTATCACTTGGCTCACTGGGGCTACTTGTTGTCATGCTGTGTGTCGCTAGCCTTGGAAAGATCCCTATTGAAAATTTTAAAAAAAAATGGTTCAAGTTGGAGGCATATTACACTAAAACCTCCACAAATTTGACAAATCATAAGCCACATTATCTGTGTTGCTGAGAACATGGGAGGCAGAAGGGTCAAGACCAGTGCTCACAAGGACATGGGCTCTCTGATGGGCTGCACCACACAGGTGATGCTATGGGATTCAGGCACTGGAACATCTCAGAGTACAAATGTCTAAGGCCCTCTCGGAGCTCAGGTACTCAACATCAAGAGGTGATAGAGTAGATGTTCTATGGACCTTAAAATGAGTCCAATATTCTCTCCCATTGTGTGTGCACTACCTGTTCTAATTGTGCACATCGCTCCTGTATCCTGGGCATCAGAGAACAGAGTGAGACATGCATGAAAAAGGACTCATGCAACTCAGAAAGACTTGTGTTAAAGGCTCACGTAGCCCTAGACAGGAATGTTTCTTTGAAGCCTATGATACACATTCATTAAAATGCCTATATTGAGAAAATACTATACACTGGGGATGCTCTTAGAACCAAAGGTTGTTGAAAAGGAAATAATCTACCACCCCCAGTCATTATCAGTGTAGCTTCATGAAATAGGAACAGACACTGAAGAATATAGAGTATCAGGTGCTACTCATGACAGAAACAAATGGTGCCATGGGCAAAGCACTGTCATATGGAATATATGAGACTCTGTTTGACTCTGTCTCCATCTAAGTGGCATATACTGATGCTCAGAAGCAAGATGAGATGTGGCATCTTCTTCAAGAAGGTACAAGTTTGAGAGGCTGCCTGCTCAGGACTGAAGTTCAGAGAGGTACAGCAGGTACAGTGGGATGCAGTCAGAAGTCTGCCTGCATCCCCATGGCACTTTCAGAGCTCATAAGCAGAAGAGTGGGATCCTACTACCAGCTGTAGAGTCTTCTCATCCCATAGATGAGGCATCCTAGGGTGCCCAGGACCAACACCCACGGGAGCAACCCTCACTCATGCTGGCTCTCTCTGCCCTTGCCTGGGAAACCTTGACCGATTCTGCACAATGTCCCTGTGGGAATCAGTAGTTTTGAGTCTCAGGTGCCTGCACAGTGACCTGCTGATGCGCATCCCGTGTCAGTCATCCTCCCTTCACTCTCATTGAAACATCCTCTGGAATCAACTTCCAGATAAATCACTCACACTAGGGGTTGATTTCCAGAAGAATTCAGCCTAAGAATCCAGACAAGTCACTCAGTGAAACACCTGATGGGATTCCATGTTTGCCTTAGGTGCACTTCAGTGGAATGTCCCCTCACCTCTGTCCATCTGCTTTTTCTGTGCCTGCTGACAGGTCAATGGAGCGTAGGTCTCACACTCTAACACATCTGGAAGGCCCTGTACCCCCTCACGCTTTCTCAGACTCCCTATCACATTCACCCCCCTCCACACCCCTTGTTTACCAAATGTTCAATTTTGGTTATGTTACTATAAAAATCAAGCAGCTGGCAATTCCGGCTTGATTAGCAGGTCTCCAGTTTTGATTAGTAAATTACTGTGGTAATCAAGGTTAATTCTCGTTGCAGTGCTTGGCAATAGATTTTATATTTTGCAGGGAAATGGTTTTCCTGCCTGGGATGGAGAAGCTTTTCATTAAAGGAAGCCTGAGATAGGAGAGGAGAGATGTGGGTTCGGGCAGTGTGGAGGATGGGCACCTGTATGATTTCCTCCTCTTTCCTGCCTTTAATGAACCTTGTCTTAGGGTTCTAAACAGGCTAAAGAGGCTCCTGAGAAATATCTGTCCATATCCCCAGGGTGTTCTGGGTGCTTGGGAAGACATGGCACTCCTTGCTGGTAATGAAAGGCATTGAGCTCAGGTCAGAAACTCCAGCTGCTGGGGTCAGGAAAAGTGGTGCCAGGAGACCTGTGCACCAGATCTGGGGTACCATTAGGTAGACTGATATCCAGGTAAGTTCAAAGGAAGAGGGCTGATGCCAAGTCAGATGTAGGAGCAACTCTTCTCAATTCTTCTATTCCCTACCTTAGGAGAGATCATCTTTTGCAAATACTAGCTAGCAGTCACAACAGGAATCAGGAGTTCTGAAAGGCCTAGAGCTGAGAGCAAGCTTTTGGGGTGGTGGAAGCTTGCAACCTGATTTTGGTTCTAATTTCATTTTGAGTCTTCTTTTCAGATTGTGGATCACATGTCTTGAACTACGAATGGAAAGATAAAATCAGAGAGAAAGGTAATCTCTGTCTCTCTGTCTCTGTCTCTGTCTCTGTCTCTCTCTCTCTCTCTCTCTCTCTCTCTCTGTGTGTGTGTGTGTGTGTGTGTGTGT